CATGTGTTTCAGGGAGTGTTCTATACTCGTCACATAGACTAATTTGTTTAGTTCTCACAGTCTTATGCAGTGGCTTCTATTTATGGCAGCTAGTCTTAAAGGTGGCCTCAGTGACCCACATCTCCTGGGATTTACACCCTGCGCAGCCCCTCCCACCTGGAGCCTGGGACAGCTTGTGCCTGGTGCTAATAGACCTCGGGACAGCGCCAGGCCTGTCTTTCACCACGCCCGGGCAAAAAAACAGATTCTTGCCTTGCCTTCCAACAGCTGGAGTGATCCCATTGGAAGGCCCTTTAGACTATAGCACTGACATGCTCCCCCGATGAATCCTATGCTCCACTGTCAGCGGAGACATGGAGAGTGAGTCCAGCTCTCAGGTGTGGAACATTGCCCTGCAGTTTCCCACAAAGTTCAACATACACTTACCAAACAGCCCAGCCATCCACTCAGACATTCTCACCTCAAATAAGTGCAGATGTCCGCCAAAAACAGGCACGGAGCTACACATAGCCACTTTATTCATGGTGCTCCCAAACTGGAAGTATCCCCAGTGGCATTCACTGGGGCATCCATAGATTGTAGTGTATACACAAAATGGGATATGGGCATACCTGTAACCTCAGAACTCTGGGAGGCTGAGGCAGGAGGATCACAAGTTTGAGCTCAGCTTGGGCAACTTAGTGAGACCTTGCCTCAAAAAGGGAGGGGTGGCTGGGGACGTAGCTAAGTGTGAAGGCCCTGGATTTGATTTCCAGGACCACAAAAAAAATGAGAGAGAAAGACAGACAGACAGACAGACAGACTGACTGATGCCAACAGTGTCAGTGTGGATGTATGAATTTTGCAGACATGCTGTTGGAGTGAAGGAAACCAGATACACAAAGTAGATTCCATTTAAATGAAGTTTGAGGTCAGACAAGGCTAAACTTCGGTGATGGAGACCAAAATAGCAGTTACGTCTGTGTGGGTACATTGTGTAAATTCTGCTCACAGGTGCTAGGAAGGCTTCCCAGGTGGTATTTAGCATCCTAGAGCGATCAAGGTTTGGTGGGCGGCAGCACTTATTTAAGATGGGATACCCAAGAGCGGGTGGCTGGGTTGCTGGGTACGTGTATGCTGGACTCTATGGGAAACTGCTGCCCGGTTTTCCACACCTGAGAGCTGGAAACTTACTTCTGCGTAATTTCTCCTACCTGAGAGCTGGTATGGAAATCATTATCTGCATTTGGGGCCCCCAAGCAGCCTTTCCTGCTTCTTTGCTTATTGGAGATGTACACTATACACTGAGATGCAGACAGCAGCAGCCCACTCTTGAGTGTACAGACTAACCAAGGTGACATGCTCACACCGAGTATTGAGCCTGATACAACATATTATTTATTCTAGGCCCCTGGAAAAGGAACGTGAGGCTCTAAGACCCAGGCCCTGTCTGTGCGGATTTTATAATCTGTAGGGGGAGATGCTTCAGTACAAGGTTGAATTGTATGTTTGTGTCCATTTTCTTGTTTTGGGCTGTTTATTGAACACTTACTCTGTGCCAGGCACTGAACTAGCCATGGGAAATGGAGTGGCAACCCAAACTCTCCTCTGTCCTGAAGGTACTCACGCCATAGTCTAGCTTTGAACAATGTATCCCGTTTTACCATCTTAACATTTTCCAAATTAATTCCCTCTCTTGGGGCTGGGGATTTAGCTCAGCGGCAAAAAGCGCCTGCCTGGCAAGCACAAGGTCGTGAGTTTGGTTCCCGGTACCAGAGGAAAAAAAAAAAACAAACAAATTAATTCCCTCTCTCCCACTTAGCGCCTGTCTTTTCTGCTCTATGGTCTGTCATGGTTTTCCTGACTGATTGTACTTCAGGTCTTCTGCTTCTGATTCATTTTCCAGACCAACAGCCCCTACAGTGCTTGATACAAAAAGATGTTCCGAATTGAACTGGAGGTGTAGCTCAGCGGTAGAGCCCTTGCCTAGGATATGAAGGCCCTGGGTTAGATTCCCCAGAACTGCAAAAAAAAAAAAAAAACCAAAATCAAAACAAAACAATAAAGCCCTGACTTCACAGTCCAGGCCACTTCGGTGCCACCCTGTGTGGGCTCAAATCCTCAGTACAGGGTCCACAATTGCGACGATATGTAACTTCCTGATGCGTCCTTTGCCTCACTGGTATCTTCTGTCACATGAAAATAACAAACCACCCACCAGCACCAGCACCAGCAGCAGCACCAGCACCTCCTCACCTGTCTGCTCGCGCTCCTCCATGGTGTGTTGTTCTGCCCATCTGCTCTGCCTGGAGATAGCCAGGCCTTCTGTTCCTTGACGCTTCCTTTGGTTTCAATGCATTGAACCTCTCCCGTGGGTGCTCCTGTCTTACTCAGCTGCAAGCTCAGTCCAAGCACTGCCTCCTCCAGGAGCCTCCCGTGAAGCTGTCCAGATGGCCGGGTCCCTCCTGCGCCCTATTTGGGCCTTCATGCTGCCCGAAGGGAATGTGTCTGTCTGCCTCCCATTTCTATGTTTCAATTTGCTTGAGTGTGATTCCTTGGTAGGCAAGCCGCCTCTGGACTCCCAGTCACATCCTTCTTTATGCCCCCTGCTGTGGACGCTCTGAGTCCGTGACAGGCACAGGATGTGTCTATGGACCAGAGCAGAACATGACAGGCATTTTCTTAGTAGGGTGGCCTTTGTGTTGGTATGGGTGAGGTATGGGTAGGATTTTTTTTTTTTTTTTTTTTTTTTTGGTACCGGAAATTGAACTCAGGACCTTGTGCTTGCCAGGCAGGCGCTTGTCTGCTGAGCTATATCCCCAGCTGGGTAGGAGGACTTTTTAAAACTTACTTTAAAACAAATTGTACATGTACATAATATCAAATTCAAAAGGAACAAAAGGGCTCTGAAGGAAAATTAAAAGTAGGTCACTTCCCAACTACCCACTTCTCCTCCCCAGAGGCCACCATCGGTATCACTTTCCGAGTATTCAGTGCAGGCCAGAATTGTCAGTCTCCTTTACTAACCCCCTTCCCCCTTATTTTGCAAAAATTTAAATCAACAGAAAAGTTGAGGATAGTACAATATACACCCTTTGCTTAGATTTACCACTTAATGTTCTGTTGCATTATGCAAAATATTGTATAAGCATGACATCTCTTAATACTACAATGTGTCAATTTTGTGTATGTGTTCACCGAAGCATCTGGCAGGTGCCCAACACCATAGAGCTGAGGGGTGGGGCTGGGCTCACCCCTCTCAGGCTGCTGGAGGACTTTGCTCTGCGTTCCTTCTCCTGCAGGAAAACATTTCTTACTCAAAGTGGAAATCCACTTCCTTGGGGCAGTCACCGGAAGATCAGTGGAAAAGTACATAGCTCTAGAAGCATTACCTCCTGCTCCTGCAGCCTTCCCATTCCTTAAGCAACAGCTGCTGTCGCTGCTGCCACCACCAGCTCAAAGTCACCTCCGCTGTGCAGGCTGAGTCTGCTCGCCTCACCGACAAACCCATGACGACTCCCAGCTGCCAGCAGGCTGACACGCGCGTGCCCGCTCCTGAAACCCGGGGGTCTCCTCAGGCCCCAGCCCCCGTCAGGTCTCTTTGCGCCGTTCCTTTTTGCCCTTTCCTGCCCACCTCCGGCCGCAGTGAGATGCTCAGGATCGGCTTGCATCCATCTTGCTGCTCCTGGAAGCCCTTCAAACTCTCCTAAAGGGTGTGCTTCCCTGCTCCCTGGAAGCCTACATTTTTCTACCAGTGGCTTCGGCAGTGCCCCCCGGTTTATTTCTGGCGAGGAGACTGGACGAGGGAACCCTACTGGGACAGCCCGGCTCCCTCCTAGCAGGATGGCCCTGTACAAATGACTCTGGGTGTCTGAGTCTTCATCGCCTCCAGCGCAGAACGTAGGAAGGAATGCCTAGTCGAAGACCTGGTGGAGTCAGCGTTTACTAATTTCTCCTAAGTGACAGCTCTTGGAGGCTGTTGACTTCTTAGTCATCCCTGGAAACACTACCTCCGATTGCTTAGTCTTTCTGTCCCTCGGTTTCCTCATATGTAAAATACGGATGATCATAGAGAGGTTGTAAACTTTAATGCGCTAAAGCGTTTGCAGCACTTGGAACAGTATCTAGCCGTTATTATTAATAACGCTATGACCACGACGACCGGGCCTGGCACATAGTAGGTGCTAAAGTAATCCGTTCTGCCACGGTGCGCAGGCTGGGCGCCGGAAGAGGGGCCACCGTGGAAGCAAGGGGCTTGCGGAGCACCCGCCCCAGGTCGGCTCCGCGTTCCCTCCAACCCCTGAAGGCCCCCGCCCGGCCTCAGCAGCTGTCAGGCCCGCTGGCCTCGGCGCCAGTCCACCAAACCTGAACGTCCCATCCCGGCGCCCCCACCTTCCTCGGCCTGCACAAGTTACCTTGCGCTAGGCCACCCTCAGCCCCGCCCCCGGCGGCCATTGGCTCAGGGGTTTCTTTGTTAGCGGCAGTGCGCGCTTACTATTGGTCCGCGGGGCTGTCGATCGCGCCGGCGCGGCCCCGCCCCGCGCGTC